GCTAATTCCACACTTAAAAATGCAAAATTGCTATCTGAACAAGAAATATGGTTTGCCTGCCTCATTCTCAAGATATTACCATACTAAATGTACATTATCATATACATTTTGCTAACAAAGCTGGGGAGAGATATTTTTATGGGCTACAAGTTCTGGGGGCAATGTTTCCAAGTTCTGACATGATAAATAAGTGGGGTGGAGTGAAGAATTAACCCAGAAGAAAATTAGAGGGCCATTTTGGTTTGCAAGCAGTAAAGTTACCATTCTGTTTTTGTTCTTGAAAATTCTGAAAACATGCAGCAGACATACTGTAGACATGGACCTGAATCAGAAAATGCATTTGACATTTGCATTCAATCATGTCATATTTATTATATGCATTACATAAAAGATATGGTCCATGTGATGTTTGTGGGTGCCTCCATAAATCATTATGTATACCATGTGGCCAGCCAGCGTGGATCACATTTCACAAGAAAATATCTTTTCTTCTCTGTAAATTCTAATGCCATAGCACAATTTGGTCTCAAATTCATTGTCTGCAGTTTTTCACTAGGTGGCACTGATGTAGCCCAATGCCCCTACACTGGATATTTTAAAGCATCTACAGCAACTCGCATCCCCCCTCCCACCCTCCTCCTCCAACTGACATGTCTTTCAGTGGTACCACAGCAGTAATATGATCAGGTTTTTCTTCCCACTCTGTTCATTTTTGCCATCTGCTCTAGGAAGAATGACCCAGACTCAGTCAATTGCTAACAAACAAAATTCCAAGCAGATACATGAGATGTGCAGTGCAACCTTATGTGTCTACTCAGAGGTAAGCAATTCCTGAGTTCAAAGGAAGTCTTTCCCAGATAAATCTGCATATTAGGGGTGGCGGAAATGCAGCCCTCCAGATGTTGTTGGATTGAAAATTTCATAACCTCTAGCCATTATAACCAGTGGCTAAAGAATGGTGAGGTAGTCCAAAAACATCTGGATGAGTCTTCCCAACCTGGGATGCATAGTTGCAGCCCAACAGCTCACACCTATACCAGTCTACTCACAAGTAACTCCCACTGAATTAATTGGGACAAGTAAGTAGAGGATTGTGGCCTAATTTACTTAACTCTTGCACACATTTTCGATTGTATTAAAATGTTACTTGCTTTCTCATCTGAATATCATAAACCACATGCCTAATATGCTTTCTGCCTTAAGCTTTTTCTCAGAGGATAGAAAACCCCGGTACCTCTGTTATTTCCACAGTGACCCAGCTCTAAAAGGAGGTGCTGACTTCTACAAGGGTTTGTATGACATCTCTGTAGGAATCAGTCACTCCTTTACGCTGCCAGTTTTTTAAACAAAACAAACATTAACACAGATGCCAGATTTTTCTTAAGAATTTATGTGTTGGGATTACCATTTATACTACTTGGATACTTACTCTAGGTTCCTGCCAGTTGCTGGACTTCTTCCTGGTTTCTCTTCTACAGTGCTTTTCTTTTGATCTGGTCCAGTGAATCTGCGCAGCTGTGGTCTCCCTGCCCCCTCCCACCTCTTCTGCAATATTGATGTTGGTTGTTGGGGGGGGGGAGCAGAGAGTAGGTGATTAAACTACACTTCCAGCATGAATCAATTGAATTTTGGAGCCAATGATCTCAATCTTACTGAACTTAACCACAAATACTGAAAACATATGAAGCATTTATTTGTGGCAAATTTACATTCTGTTGCTTTAGAGGCCCTTCCTCATGACTCACTTTTGATATGTCTGGACTGTAATCTACAGAACAGGCTCCTTATGTTGCCTTAGGAGGTCAAGGCAGCATTATAGCTGAACATAATGAAACTGGCCTTGTTAGGCATAATTTTAACTATGGTTTAGCAGAGAAGGTGACAAATTCCAGAGGTCTGGAGGCTACATGTTCTACACTTCTGGTCTCAGAAGAAAACTCCTTGACATAAAATAGGCAAGGGGAAAGTGAAACAGCCTGTAGCATGAACACACACATGGATATGATGTGATTTTTTTGTTGTTTTAAAAAATTGAAGAAGTTTGTAAGTGAGCCTCAGATTGATGAGCTCTACCCTTCCTGTTCCCTCCATCAATGCAGCTTCAAGCAGCAACTGCAAGCAGAAGATCAGAAGATTCTGCTTCTGTTTTAACCCAACCACCATTACTCATCAGCTTACTTTATTTATTTATTTTAAATATTTTACAGTGCCTTTCTCCTTAAGAAGGACCCAATGTGGCTTACATCATTCGAAGACAATATTAGAAGCTAAAAACAGTAAGTATACAAATACTAAAAAGAATCAGATACCACCACTAAATGAAGGTAAACAAAAGCAACATCAAAAAGGCGCTCAAAGCAGTAAGGTACAATCATCTGTTTTAAGAACCCCACTCGGGCAGTCAGTCATTAAGGGAAAGACCCATCAGCAGCCTTTGATACTTTCAACCACGGTATCCTTCTGGGGAGGTTCTATGGGTTGGGGATCAGAGGTCAGGCCTTGACCTGGCTCTAGTTCTTCCTGGAGGACTGCCCTCAGAGAGTACAGCTTCGGGAGATGCTGTCCACTCCGTGGACTCTCAATTGCAGAGTCCCACAGGGGTCAATCATCTCCCCAATGCTATTTAACATCTATATGAGGCCACTGGGGGAGGTCATCAGGAGTTTTGGAGCTTTGTATCACCAATACGCAGATGACATCCAGCTCTATCTCTCCTTCCATCCCTCTGCAAAGGATGCCATTCCGTGCCTTGATTGCTGTCTGGGCGATGTGCTGGGATGGATGAGGGGAAATAGACTGAGGCTGAATCCGGACAAGATAGAAATTCTGCAGGTAGGGGCCCCTAGTGTTTGTGATCTGGGTGCCTCCCTCTCCTTTGGGAAGAGGCTATTCTTTCCATGAAGGATGGAGGTGCACAGCCTGGGCATACTTCTGGACCCAGCACCATCAATGGAATCCCAGATAGCATCTGTGGTCCATTCTGTCCATTTCCATCTAAGGCAGATTGCCCAGTTGCATCCCTTCCTTGACACTGGGTCCTTCACCATGCTAGTTCATGCACTGGTAGTCTTGAGATTAGACTACTGCAATGCTCTCTACCTTGGGACTGTTACTCCAATGGGTCCAGAACTCGGCAGCTAGATTGTTGAGTGAGGTTAGGAAATGGCAACACACTTTCCCCACCTTGGCCATCTTGCAATGGTTACTTGTTTGCTTCCATACCAGCTTCAAGGTGATGGGGTTAACTTCTAAGGCCCTAAATGGTTTCAGACCTCAATATCTGGCAGAGCGCCTCCTTCTGATTAGATCTGCCTGTCCTATAAGACCGTCATAGGCAGAGTGGTTGAGAGTTCTGGCCCCAAGAGACACCCAAAAAGCAACCACCAGAAATTGGGCCTTCTCAGCGGGCGCCCCACAACCATGGAACAGTCTGCCACCCAAAATCCACCTGGCCCCCTCATTGGGAACCTTCAAAAACTATTTAAAACATGGCTATTCAGACAGGCCTTCTCAGATTATAAAATATCATGATACAATAGTTCCTCAATAATCTAACATCCAACCTACCACCATGTTTCCATTTTTATTTTATTTTATTATGTTTTTACTGTGTATTTTTACTGTAATTTGTTTTGCATCTTTAATATTTTATTTGGCTGTTGTTGTATACCCTGTCACTATGTTATTGTTATTGTTTACTTTGTTGTAAACTGCCCAGAGTGGCCCTGGCTGCGAGATGGGTGGTATAAAAATCAAATAAATTTAAAAAAAATAAAAATTCACCTGCTTGAGGAAGGACAGCAAAGATGGGACCAGCCTGGCCTCCAGTGGGAGGGAGTTTCAAAGTTTGGGAGCAGCCACAGAGAAGGCCCTCTCTCATGTCCCAAACAAATGCACCTGTGAAGGTGGTGAGACTGAACAAAAGACCTCTCCTCATGATGTTAACATGCAGGCAGGCTCCTAGAGGGAGACATGGTCTTTTAGTTAGCTTGGACCCCAGCCATTTAGGACTTTATGGCTTTGAATTATGCCCAGAAATGTATTGGCAGCCAGTGGAGCAGCAGTAACAGGGAGGTTATGTTGATCCCTGTGATCAAATGTTGGCTTAATGTGCCAAGATGTAATACCCCCCTTTGCACTCATTCCCTTTGTTCCTCCCTTACAATGAGTTGTAATTAAACCAGGAAGTCAGGGCATTAAGACATGATATAAAGTTAGTTTAACATTTGTTTACTTATTCCAAAGCTGGTAACTATAATATCTCTATTCAAATGAAACAGAAAATTAAGGTTAATTGGAGACTTCCAGGTTGTATCATAGTTCTCATAAACAGAAGACTGAAGAGGTCACACAAATTGACAAATAACCACCTTTATACCTCACTTTATCTAGTTGTGTCAAGCTGTGGCAGCTTTTAGTATGATAAGGTATAATGCCTCATCCCTCTATTTTGGGCTACCCCTTAGACAGGTCACAAGCTGCCTATGGAGGCTCTAAGGCACCTTATTATAACGGACAACTGGTTAGTAACTGAAATGTAGGAAATAAAGACAATTTCAACAATGATATGCAAAAATGGCTTGTTTTCCTAGACTATGTATTAAGCTAAACGTACAGTATATATAACAAAGACCCAGTGTTCATGGATACTATTAAAGTTTCTGTCATCATTTCTGCAGCTGAGTTGGAGACGAAGGAAAGAAGAGAAAGCCACAAGCCCGAAACTAAACCATACCTTAGAATTTCAAGTTATGTCCAACTCTTCCCATAAAGTGGTACAACAAACAATCAGCATCATGGGACTATGGATGAAGTTGAAAGCATCTAGTTTTGTATTAGAAATAATATGCTGTGTTTTACAGACAAACCAGAATCAAATCATGTCATAATATCCTGGGTTGTTATGCAGCTACAGTAAGAAGAAAACAGTCACCTGAGATCAGATGTCACCACAAACTGTGGTTAATGGTAAACTAAATGCAGAAGCTTTTGAGACCTACCCATGCATAGAGGATGTGAGGAGGTAAGTATCGAGAAAGCATGTACAGACTCTTTTCTGTAGCTCAAAACTATTGCTTAGGATTACACCTGAGCTGGACCCATATCTTCTCAAATAGCATCACAACTGTCTCCATTCCTAAAGAAAAAGAACAAGTAGATGATATCAGCTTTCCCTCCCTTGATCAGTTTGAAATCTGTCTTGGGGATAACCTTAGCTAAAATGGCCTTGAAAAGGCTGAGAACTCTGACCTTGGTTTGTGCAAAAGTGACCCAAATCATTACATGCTCTGTGTCCCTGTCTCTAGGGTCTTTGTTTTGGTCACCATGCACTCCCCCACACAGAGACAAAGACACAAATGAGAGTGAAAGATGATAGGGGAATACATACAGTTCTACATTTAAATATAGATCAAAGCTATAGATCTGTATTTAAAGATAGAACAAAGATAAAGTGGTCTCTGTGGTCTTTGTTGAGATTACAGTATGAATAGACACAGATACAGAGGCTTATGAAAAACCTGTTATTTGCTTTAAAAATGGTATGTGGGTGCTCCCCACCCCTTGCCCATCCACTTTTCTTTCTTTGTGGAACAGAGATACCACATTTGCCAATTTCCTTTCACAGAGCTGTGACACCAGAAGGCCTGGTTTACAAATTCTCACGCAGAATGTTTTGCAAGCCAGATCAAAGCACAGTGGACCCTGTGATGGCACTGCTAAAGCATCCAAATAGCCTTTAGGACCTCACAAAACAGCCAGGACAGCGTGTGACTCTGGCATGCTTTTGATAGACTTAGTGAACTATGCAGCATAAAAAAGAAGTTTGCAATCCAACAACAGTATCCAGTGTAGAATGCAACAGGCAGTCGGCTAAAAATTGAACATATGTCACAAGAGCAGAGGAGAAAACCCTTTCTGGATGCCAGCTGACATAAACCAAATATATTAAATGCATGTATTCATATATCTAAGATCGCCAGAATGAAGCCAAATACAATATTAACATGGGGTTTTAATCCATGTGCTTTTATAGTTTCCCCTACTGCCCCCTAGAAACAAAACAAATAAAGGTTGTATAGCATTGGTGTGGTCCATTGGCTGCAAAATAATAAATATGAACCTGTTAATTTTAGAAATGATTAAACATGAAAAGATAGCAGAGGGTATGGTCTGAAGCTCACAGTCAATACATGGTGTGCAGTGTACATCATGACAGCTAATTTAGAAATTACTGTTTCCTGTTTGTTGCTTATTCATAATATTTATTTATTTGATTTATACCCCGCTTATCTGGACCGATGGACCACTCTAGGCGGCTAATGAGACCACTTGGCACAAAGGGAAGCTGAAAACATTATGTGAGTGTGGGTTCAATAACTTGGCTTTTCTCCTTTGTCCACGACCAAGCAAAAAGGCAGATTTCATAACCAATTAATTAGTAAATTGCAGCATTAGAGGTGCGTGAGACTAACAGCAGCAAAAATTATTCTCTCAATTGCTTGACCCTTATGTTTCGTGTCTAAGTCGCACTGGCAATGTGACCACGTAAGATTGTCTTCGGACAAAACGCTGGCTCTATGGCTTGGAAACGGGGATGATCACCGCCCCCTAGAGTCGAACACGACTGAAAAAAATTGTCAAGGGGAACCTTTACCTTTATGTTTCTTAATGATCTATAGAAATAACCTTGCTAGTTGAATATATGTTAAGATATTTTCAACTTAAACTTAACACAAAATCCCAATTGTTTTATAAAATAGAAGCAACATACTAAATATATCATAATTATGACCTGCACAGTTACTGGTTCTCTTATGAGTTGGTAAACACTGATTTTTCAGAGCCTGTTTATAAGACTGCCTCAGCCTATGTTTTTCAGCCAACCCACAAAGCTTTCCAGGATTTCCCAAAGTTGTCTCTCCTAGTTCCGAAACCTGCCTGGAACTTACATGTTCTATATGTACGATGGAACACTCACCAAGGAGACATGTTTATGTCCATGTTCGGTGTTGCTATTCCAGATTTAGTGTGGCACAATGTGCATGGCCAGCAGTCAAATCCGGGATGCAAAGCTAGTATGTGCATACTCTTTTTGTTATAAGTTGATGTGGCCAGGGGTCTAACAGCCCTACCACCTTCAGATCACACTTATGAATGTGCTTGTTGTGCAGAGAAGGGCAAAGAACATTGGGGAAAGGCCAACATGTAGTGTCCCTGCTCTGTCACGCATCTGAAGAGCTAACATACTTCTTCCTGGCCACAAAGCATTTGTATCTGTTTCACAGGTAATACTTGGCATGCACGAAAGGTGCTAGAGCTAGCAATACACAGCAATTACTTTCTAAGTTGTTCCAAAGGGCCATGTAGTTAAGCACTTTTAAAATGCAGAACTTAATTTTTTTTTCAGCTACATTGTAATTCATGGTTGGCCTTTTCCACAATGAATTGCTGGGATTAACCAATAAATCAGCAGAAAAGACATGCCAATTTTCTCAACAGTTGACAAATTACAGCGCAAGCAGAGCACTATATATTCTATTTGTATTTTGAATTTACTTCATAGGGAAATTTAAGATTCAGATGCTTCTCAAATGCTTTCTTGTTTCTTTTATGCAGTCATATCACATTTAGTTATGCACAGTTATCGCTTTCTCCAGCAACGTTCAAAACCTTTTTTGCTGGCAGCCACCACCAATATATGCAAGTAATATTTTCCTTCCTTTGATAATGTATGCTTCTAAGAAAAATACTACTTTAGTCTGGAAGATTTCTAATTATATTGTTTTCTACTGCATCACTTTATTTTTTTTTATTTTTACTTTTGGGAGAGATTAACTGAATGTTAGTGCCACAGCTGATTTACATCGTGTTTCGGAACGCAACACAAATTCTATTTTTTAACATTATCTCCTTTATACAAAGTTTCTGTGGGTATTTGTGTGGATTCCACCTGGACATTCTTCTGTACTAACTCCACTAATAGATGGGCACAAGAGCACCCACAGATTAGGACAGAGTAGAGACTTCCTTGCTGACCTTATGCTGAAATGAGGGAACTGAATTGGATAGACCACAGCCAGGGGGCATTGTAAGAGATTATATTGCTTTAATTCACAGTAAATCTACAGTTGAAATACAGCAAAGTCTGACCCAAAAGGCAGCCCCAAGGTCTTTGGACTCCTTCTAAACCCCTTAGATGCTGAAAAACAATTTAGCCCCCTAAAGACAAATCATACTCCCAGAAATCAGAGGACCTGAGTTCGTTCGTTCGTTCGTTCATTCGTTCGTTCGTTCGTTCGTTCGTTCGTTCGTTCGTTCGTTCGTTCTTTCTTTCTTTCTTTCTTTCTTTCTTTCTTTCTTTCTTTCTTTCTTTCTCTATTTCCTCAGGTTTCTTATTTTTCTAAAATTACATTTGAATTAAGACACTGTTTGCCTTCTGCCCCCACCCGTGAATACTTTTCCCCCAAGGTCAAGGGGGCTGTCTACAGTACCAAGGTCTGAAGGCAAAATATCCCCTTGACTCTCATAAATTGTCTACCCCACTATAAGGAACCCAGCTTTTCCCATCTGTCAGTCCCTCTCCCTAGCCTATGTAGAAATGTGGGTTTTGAAAACCACAATATTCTGTTGCTGCAGTTCTATTGTAATTCTTTATTTTTTCACAGAGCTCCAAGATGGCAAAAGCCTATTAGGAACACAGAAAGCTGTTTTCTAGTGAACTGCACTAGTGGTCTTGTCAACACCAGTCTTATCTACCCTAAACCTGCCACATCTTCCTGGGGTTTTAGACAGGAGCTTGCTGCCCACCACAGAAACTGATCTAGAATGTTTTGCATTCAAAATACAGTATGGGCTCTGAATGGATCCTAACTGCTTCCTTTTTCTTTCTTTAATTTTAATATTTTTGGAGAGGCAACCCCTTTTCCAGGTAACAACTATTGCTGGTATATACACATTTCCTAGAGAGTATGTCAAGACACTCACCCAGATTAGCTGGTACATTCTTGACTCCAAGGTAAATGAAAGGGGGTGACTGTATCAGCTGGACCAGTGGCAGCACTGGCAGAATTGCTGGAGATCAATTGAGACCTTATGTTATCATTACTAGTCTTCAGCCAAATCCAACATCTATGGATCAGAAACCCTCAAGGAGCTTTGGGTCCTCCAGATCTATGCTTCTAAAGCCTGAATCCCCAAAGGAACCAGTTTTCTCCATGCTGGAGACAGGCACCCCACATTGACCTGTTCACTTCATTCTCTTGAAGGGAATCCTCAAGGAGGAAGTGGAACGCTACATCCCAACCCAGAACCTTGCTCATTTACAGTCTTCCACTATCCATAAATGAATGCCTAATTAGGAGTAAGTTTCTTTTTTGCCTTACTGCTAGTCTCAAGTGTGGTAACTCTTCTCTAGTAGCCATAAACTCAGCACTAGGCACTCTGTGACCATAAGTAACAAAGAATCCTAACAAACACATCCAAACTATGTACAGTACATGCACCAAAGTACTACAGTACTACTAGTACTAAAAATAATAACCATTGAACTGCAGAGTGGGAATAGACCCTATGTATCAACGAATCCAGCCCCTCTCAAGGAGGCATAGTGGGGAATTGAACTCCCAACCTCTTATTCTGTAGCCAGAGGCCTAAGCATTGAGCTATCTAGCAGTTATATGGCAGTAATGCTGCTATATAAACAGGAATGCACAATGGAAATTAATTTACTAGAGTGTTAACGAAGGCAAACCAGAACAGCAAAATCAAAATAACTGGTATCATTTACAAGCAGAGAATACAAAACTGGTTTGTGTTTCAAAGGTTAAAATGCAAAAGTTGCTTGGGATCTAGGAAAATAAACAACTTATTTGGTGCATCAGAAGTGGACTCCTCACACCCCCTGCTGCCTTTTGAAACTTCTTTCTTTGAATTGTTGCTTGATTAAAATAGAACAAATAACTTTGGTTGGAACAGCTGGAGCAAAATTGTGTTTGGCTGATTGTAGAATTACATCCTTTGCAACTGCAAAGTCTGTGGTTTGAATGTAGATGGCTTGTTAGCTGGCCATTTGGGTGCAGAAATTCTCCACCTCTGTATGCTAGCTATAACAGCAAGAACAAAGTTTAATTGATATAACCCTGTCCTAAATATGTGAATATCAGTAAGAATTCTTGCACTGGACAAAGTGGACCAGAGCGCACGACATTCCACACTGTAATGTATTTCTTAGTTTTTAAGATTGTATGGGGCTCTTTGTTGCTGCCCCTCTGAATTTGATTAGAGGGGCACATGCCAAAAAAGGTGCCTATATTCAGAATCAAGCCTGGCTTTAAAGACCGAATCCCCTGATGTGAAAGGGTTAAAATAACTAAATGCAGGTGGTACTGCTTGCAAGGAATGTGGGCTATTCTTGGTCCTCCCCCCTCCACAAACGTATTGTTGGAGACAAGCTATTGGTAAGTGCTTGTAAAGAGCTGGTTCCTGACCTTGGCCATGTACTTCACTTCCTGAAATTGTATTAGCCTTGTGCTGAATGAATGCTCCAGCAAGCTTTAAAATGCAGGAATCCAGAATACAATGGTAAACACATGCACATACACACAACCCACTATTGAATAGACTTGATTGAGTACATGAAGTTGTCAAGCTGGAATAAATTAAAGTTGTTTCAACATTTTTGTATACATATAATTTTACTTCTTACTGTAGTTCTGATCTAGAAGATTTTAATTTAAGAAAACTATAAGTACAAAGGCTACCTGGAATAGTTATAATACTCTTACCAGATTTTTTGCAGAAACAATGCCACTGCCTCAGTTTACTCTGCACCACCGTCTATTTCCCCCACACAAATGGCAAAATCCATGGATGTGAAAAAGTTCTTTTAGGCAACAATAAATGAATTCTAGTTATAAGTTATAACTAGAGTGGGTCAATTTAATCATTGGGGATCTGTGAGTCAACTCCTCTATAAATTCAATTGATTCAGTGGGCCTACTGTAGTTATGACATACACCTGGATTTCAGCCAATGCATTATGAGGGCATCATCAGTGGAAAACAGGAACAACCAAGCTGCTATGGGTCCAACATTCTTCTATCATGGTCTTCTAAAAAAACTGCTATTAGAACGCAAAACCATGTCATCCCATATCCTATCTTACTTTGCAATAATTCTAGGGCCAAGGAATCATAAATTCTGTCTTAAGCCCTCCAAGGGAAAGGTGGACCTACACAGTGAAACTCACATGGATAGCAGGCAGCATTCCAAACTTATGAACAAGAACATTTCTCATCTTGCTTTGGATTAATTGAGAATTTTTCACCCATAATTTTTTGTACATATTAAACACGTGTCTTCTACACCCTTCCTTTTCCTCTTGGTGTGAAAATGAGTACTGTACTGTAGTGCGCTGTATGCTTTCTGGCCTTCAAAACATTGAAATGTGTCGCTTGTTCATGAGACATATTACAATGCGTTTTCTTCCTCTAAGAATAATTTCAAGGCTCTGCCTTACCTTGTTTGTTTGTTTGCTTGTGGTCTGATCTTATGGCCCAGTTTCTCCTTCCATCACATCCCCATTCCTCACAATTTAGTCTGAACCACTACATTCAATAAAGTTATTGTTCCCTCAGAACCACAATGTATTGTCAACTCAATATATTTTTGAATGCATGTATACTGGAATGAGTTTCCCCCTCAGAATTGCCCTATGGCACACAATCAAGTCTCAGGCTTTCACAGGCAGGAGAATAGGGGTGTGCTTCTTTGTGTATGTGCAAGACTGAGACATGTGATAGTGAGGTAGTATGATTCTTCTCATCATGAATTGGCTTTTGGAGGGTACATATTTTCCACCAACGAAATAAAGGGGAAAAAAAACATTTCAGACAGCTGGTAAGAGTTACTAGTGAATCTAACACTAGCTGCTATAATGACTTTTGCAATATTTTTGAAAGCTCTAATTAACAAGGATGTACGATAATGTACGAAATGTTTTAAATATGGCTCAACAGACAGCATTTAAGAAGACATGGAAGGAAATGGAACTTGTTTCTTTCTAATGTATGGCCACCTGTTATCATATAAAATTTTAATATAGAAGAATAATTAGTAATATTTAATGATCCCACATATATGTTTTATCTTGCTGTAATTCTCAAATTATAAATAAATGATTTTAGAAACCAGCTGTTATGTCTTCTTACTAAAAATGTCAGGGAACTCAGGCCATTACTCATGGTGGTACTACCTGCAGAGGCTGAAATATTGGGATGTTCCTTTCAGAATTGTCTTTGGCCACAGGCAAAATGTTTCCACGAATGCAGCTTTATCCCTGGTAAGGTATTTTATGACACCGGATGGCACTTCCAGCAAGGAACATTGCAACTAGAGATGGGCATGAATCAGAACAATGGTAATCATTTTGATTTATGATTTATCAAGGGCAATCAATCATAAATAACAAATTAATGATTTTTTTCTGATGAACCAATGAATCAATTTAGCAATTCATTTTTGCCTTTAAAACCAATGTAACACCACCACCCCGCACCTAAAGATACCAAAATTGCAGAGAAGCTTTCCCTGGCTCTAATCAATGTCAGTGTTAGCTACCAGACAACATGACAAGCTATGGCTACAGGAAAGAGAAAGCAAAGCATCCATTTCCAGCATTTATGTACCCATGTAGGTGATAGATGACTTAAAATAGTGGTCTACTCTAGGGTAGCATACTGGCTCCTATTTTGTTTAACATTCACAACAACAATCAATCTCAATCCTCAAAGCTGCAAAAGTTTTATTTGTGCTGACAATTTCAACTTGCTGCTCAATCAGTTTGCAGATGGTAGAACATTTTCTATCAGATGTACAGTATTAGAAGAACGTAGTACATATTATAATAGAAACTAATTTAAAACCAACCCTAGAAGGACTGAAATACAAGTCTTTCATCTGATATATAAGCAGGAATCTCAAAAAAATCAGAAATTCAATGTTACCTAGAAGAATGTTCAACTAGATGATGGTTTTATCCATAAATACAGATTTTTTTAAACTTTGGATTGTATATTGACATAAGAAAAAAGTCTGTGCAAGGAAGAATATTCTTCAAAAGCTATCGGAAACTAGTTGGGGCACACAGCCACAAACACTAAGAACTACAGCCTTGTCACTATGATGTTCTGGTAGAGCTAAACCATGGCCCAACATTCATTCATTCATTCATTCATTCATCTCATACCCTGCCCATCTAGTAGACATGCTACTACTCTGAGAAGGTAACATAGTATACAAAAATTGAAATAATGAACATATAAAAGCAGAAGCCCATCCTAAAAACTCCAATCTAACAAACATTCCAAAGCTCAACATGATGTGGCCAGTGTGCTCAATAATTACACTTGGTTAGGTTTCAGAATATGTGCATCATCGTTCTTAACTGCAAATGCAATTTCATTACAGAAACCTATTTTCAAGGCAGAAGTTGCATGCTTTTTCTGAAAGTCCATGACTTTTGAAATTGTGACACACTAAGGTTTCTCCTCATTTAACAAACCATGATGGGCTATGCATAAGGATATATAAGAAGAGCTACACATAAGAACACATAATTGAATAAGAAGTGTTTAAGATAATTTATATCAGTTCCGTGGGGACCAGACATGACATTACACAAGGGACAGATGTAAACATCTTCAAACAATATTTTAAAATGGAGAGAGACAGAGAGAAAGAATAAATGTTTGATTGGACAAATGGCAGGTGCAGAGATGTAGGAGAGGAGTGGGAAAAGAACACTTGCTTAATACTTTCCCCTCTAAGAATTTTATGCAAGTATATCCACAGCAAAAAGTCAGTGTGGCGTAGACTTGAGTCAAATCCTGGCTTGGCCATGGAAAACCATTGGCTGGTGGTGACAGTGGTAGGCCACTCCTTGACATTTCACATTCCCTGTGAGGATTACCACGAGTCAGAAGTGACTTGATGGTACCTAAAAACAATAGTATAAGTATCAATTCCTTTTTAATCTACAGATCACAAAGCAGTTTGAGGATAATTTTAACTGGAAAAATGCCTAGGAGAGAAAAATGGTGGTTGTCTTTTTCTGTTCCTTTTCTCAGACACACAGTCTCTAAACAGTTCCTTGTTTTTATTTTAAAATAAATAAGAAAGAAAAGTGTGGCATAACCTGCCATATGCCATGCAGTCTGATCTTTAGCCACATAAAGATCTACTTGCATGTTAATAAACAGGATAGAAAGCCTGGATGAGGCCATGAGAAGTGAGTTTTCTTCCCAAAATTCAGGGATACTCACATTTGCATTATGTTTCAATAGCCAGAAATAGAATCTGGCTAACACTCAAAAATGGAATGCAGAGTTATATGTACCAACATCAACAACAAACACATGGAGACAACTTGTTTGTTTAATACTGAGCTAAAACTGAGCTAATTACCATTGTAAAATTCTGTGTATTCCACAGTGTGCAAACATTGTAATTGCTAGGAATTACTTTTTTAAAAGCCTTCCTAGAACACAGTCCTCGGACTACTTAGTTGGAGCAAGCTAAGGAGCCTGAGGACTGAAAACCTCTATCCTGGAGGAAGCTGGTCAAGTGGGATGTTAAAATAAAGCATTCTGTTCTGTTTTCTTAATTTAACTGTTATCTGATACTTTCTTATTCCTGCAGCTGTTTTGCCAGCCTGACTTCTCAGCCATGTGACGGCAATTTTTATGCATGGTTGATTTTTCAATATGTGAGATTTTGGTTCAGTCAGTTTCTCAGAAAAATATGTATTCCTGAGATACTGACAGCCAGTATATTTCTCCAGGTGCCATCTTTCAACAAAGTCATCAACAGGTCTTGATCCATTTTAATCACTATGTATCCCATGGCAATTTACACAAGTGTTATAAGGGACAATTAAGGCACCTTTAGCTTTCTGAACCCCTCAAAATGTTGGCTTCAGAAGAGTGCTCCTTCCTGTTGCACATAAGGTAGTAAAAGCTATGGCTTGTTTTTTTCTGAGATACAGTAGTTAATTTGTTCCAAGCATAACGGCATGGCCTCATTCTGCAAATCAGGGCTACTTGTATCATTGGCTAGGTGGAGGTTGCCCAATTTGAGGAAACCTCTTTGGCCCAGACACAGATAGAGTCAGCCTCACCGCAGAGCTAAGTGGGTGCTGCATCACTTTAAAAATAGCATTAATGTAAGTATATTACGAGTAAAGTATGTGTATTAAGTAGGTGTAATGCTGTATTTTAAGTGATGCAGCACATATTTGCAGCTCTAACACACACTTAATTTTTATTTTCACTTCCTTGGCCCTTCCACTGAGCTGGGGAAACATTTATTTTGCCAATATCTTGTAATGGCAAATACTGGCAAATCAACAGCAGGCTGTTGCAGATCAAATAAGGTCCCTTGAGAACCACACCAAATTGGAAACCAGACATCCTAGCAACCGTGTTTAGCATGCTCCATCCTGCTCCAATTGTCATGTGTAGACAAGCGCTATATCTTTCAGCATCGCCTTGCTCTGTCCATTTGTACGTAGCCATGTGAATGATGCACACTGAGGGTATGAAACAGTCTCAGGAACATTTATATAAGTAGTGTAACCCCTTGCCCAAGGCAAAGGCAAATCAATTAGATGAGCTTCACAATTTATTTTATAAGCCGTAGAATATATGGCACGCAAGTGTCGTAACTATCTTTTTTTTAAATATGAGGAAGGTTTTCAGTAACACCCACTACATTAACATATGAATTTAGAATTTCCACAATGCACCAGCAGCAACTAACAAAAAAAGTGAACTTTTATTAAATAATTGGAGGAAAACTGCTTGCACTGTGCAGTTTCCTCAGAAGTCTAATTATATTAATATGCAAATATATGCAACAAAGCCTCAATGGCCATATTATTAAAGAAAAGCGACTTCAGAAAAAAGCTGAAAAAACCTTTCTTCCAGCTCAATGCTTTTCTACTTCAAATAACCTGTCCAGTCTACTTCCCCCACAAAAACAGACTCTAAAATAGTGGTTTGAAAGCACTTATTTGTAAAACTGTGAGACGAAAGTGGCTTGGGTGTGGAGAAAAAGTGACAAAGTGGTAAAGAAACCCCACCTGGTAACCAAGCCCTCCCCCTGAATCCGTTACTTTTTTTTTCAAAATATGGCTGTTGGGGTCCTGTTACATGTCTCAGTAAAGACATTTACAGGTTTCCGCTTCAGAAGTGCTACGTTCTCTTTTTAAAAAACAGTATGTAACAAAAATATTGTAATTAGTGGTGTGTACAATTGAAGTTGCATAATAATTTCTTTTTAAATAATTTTACAAATAGCTGGGGGGGAAGAGAGTGAGGGAAGAGCAGTGAATAACAATCTCTGGAGCCTTTAGAAATATGGAATGACACTGGCTGGCTGGTAATGAAATTGCATTTTGTCCTTTTTCCGCAAAATGGAGAAGTCATTCTGCTCTGCAAAGTGCTATAATTATAAAACCATTTGCCACCTCTAATGGGAGGACTTTTATTTCATGAAATATTAACAAAATATAATATCAGTGCCATAGGTTAGGAATAGTCTTATTTTCTCCATAAAAAGTCAATTTGTAACTGCTGCAGAATTTCTTTCTTGGGATGGCTATATCTCACTAACTGATCTTTTTATGTTGGTATTGAAATGCAAGCACTAAATTAATCACAATGGATTTCTCACCTTTACAGTTACTGTAGAAAAAGAACTCAGTCGTGGTCACATTAAATTTAGACATTTCTGTTATGTTCATGAAAGCATCCATCATCCTGAGAGAGTGCCTGTCCAGAACAAATCTTAACAGAAAATTTCAGAAAATAACAAGTAGTTTGCAAAGAGCAATTGGCACTAATGACAGTGAGTCATGTTTCTGTTATGGTAAAAATGGTGCTGGCTAGCTGGCCAGCTAGATAGATAATCCAACGTTTCTAATTTTCCACAAAGGGATGTTATGAAAGATACATAGTATACTGTATAGAACATTCAATTATATAAAAAAACCCTGCTGATTTAAGATCAGAGTGAGTACTGTATCTAAGAAGCTAGAAGCTAAGACTGACACTATAACAAATAAGCTCAATGATCTAGAAGGGCATGTGCATGTCACAAGCTGTGTTAGCCTGCAGGCTCAAATCCAGACTGAGATGATACAGTGGTTGGGACCAGTATCAATGGCCTACATCATCCTGATCCTACACAGCCTTATAAATCCTAGGAAGCAGTATCACTAGAGGAATCCACTATTTAAAAAGTATCTTGTTTCTTTCTATTTTGGTCTTCCAACTATCTGTAACCAGGGGAGTCAGCAATACCAGCAGGGAACAAAAAACAAAAAACAAACAAACAAAAAAGGACGGTGTGACAAGAAGGAAGAGGAGGAAAGAGAGGGGGGGGGGAGGAGCTGGAAGCAGTGGTAGCGCCCTTGACCTCTGTTGCAAGGAGGAGGAAATGAGGACACTGTCCTGACTGCAAAAAGTGTCAGCAGCACCAGACAGAGAAGGAGAGGAGATGACACCCTTCCCTCCTGCAGTGGTCATGGCAGTGTATACATGTCTAGCACCTCCTTCCTGTAAGCAGGAAGAAAGCTGTATATGTGTATGGAGGCAGAAGTGGGAAGTTTTGTGTTTCTCTGTGGTTCTTCCAGGATACAAGGGTGACAGTGGATCTTACACCTGAAGTAGTAGTCTCGTTCTAGCCTAATAAAGAACTGTCAGTAACTCTCAATGAATCAATATTGTAATTGGAAAGCACACGTGAATGAGAATCTGGCTGTACAGTCCATTGATAGAAGTGTGGAGGACAGCATTCACAAGAGCTGCAGAATCCCATCCTCTGAGATGGCAGAGCCAGAACCTGAGATTATTGTGATGTCACATGGGCAGGTCTTTATGATATTACAGAGTCAGCACAAGAAAGACTTCAGAACTTCTTCTAGGCTACCTGACCGTGTGTGTGAGGGTATTTAGTCCATCCATCAGTAATTGGACATTGAAAAGCCCACTAGGCATGCTGGTCTTCATAAGCAAACTCCAACAGCATTCACAATCAATGAAAGTTTTACTGTAGAGCTATTCACAAGGGGTCATTGAACCCACAGACCCTTAGTCACTTCCAGGCTGTTCCACTTCATCCCAGTGATAACACATCCCATGCACAAACAGAAGGGGAATAGCTCACAGTATAATATTTCCCTCTTCCAAGTTCTGGCCCATGTGGCAAAGTATCTTAAATTGTCACCTTCTCAGTTGGGTCAGGGTTGATGTGACCTTTGGAGTTGATGTCTTCCCATGTTCAGCTAGTAGGACTTTCCAGTGTCCATGGTAGGCTCATATCCTTCAGCTATGAACCAAAGTGATCACTGCTACTTCCTTGGGGAGTGCTAAATTCAGTTGGAGAAGGCGCACCAGATAGAGAGTGTCTGGCAAATTACATGTAGTCTGGTAGAGAATTGGCCCTACTTGCTCATTCAGAGGCATCAGCCCATTCCTCAGTACCACTCTTCTCTCGCCTCAGTTGAATTCTTTGTCTCAGTCCTTCTCAGCCTTCCTCTGTCAGATCAGATGCTTTACTCTCCCCAGGAATCCTATGGAGTTTTATAGACCTCTTGGGGAAAAATCAGAAGCCTGTGTTCATCAGGCATTTCCCCAGTGAAGGGTTAACTCCAGAATGAAGCTGAACAATCACTGATAATAATCTCAAAATTAATCTGAGTATCAAAATATAAGTCTTTTTATTGCTGCAATCATTCCAGGCAACATCAGCTTGTCTAATTCTACAAGCTTTATCTATCTATACTGCTTCTATGTTCCATATGCACCAAATATCTCAGAAGTAGCAAATTAAAATGTATTGAACACAGTCTTGTAGTTGTGAAAAAAACTGTAGGCATAAATGCTTAAGGATATATGAAAACTGAACTTATGTTTCAGGCAAATACTTATGTAAAAATTCAATCCAAAATACAGGAACAAAAGTACAAGGAAATATAAAAAAATGTTTTAAGTTAACTTAATAAAAACGGAAGAGCTTATAGTTTATAGATTAGATTAAGCATCCTTCAGTCTCGAGAGGCTATGGTAACGAGCTCTGAATAGAGGACTTGGAACAGCTACTAGTGTGGCTGAGGAGGCCAATTTGAGAGTGACAATCCCTTCCACACTGAAGACAAATACAATCTGTCCCCTGCCCAGCTCCCTGATTTGGCTACTTTCATGACTGACTTTTTGCCTCAGCCTGCCAGACAAGGGTCTCTTCAAACTGGAAGAGGACATGATGCACCACCTGCCTCCAGGCTGAACACTCAAGGTTGGATGTCAAGGTTTCCTATATGTTGAGGTCCATTCCTAAGGCCTTCAGATCCGGCTTGCAGATATCCTTGTATCACAGCTGTGGTCTCCCTCTGGGGCACTTTCCTTGCACTAATTCTCCATAGAGGAGATCTTTTGGAATCCGACCATCAGCCATTCTCATGACATGCCCGAGCCAACACAGATGTTGCTGTTTCAGTAATGTATACATGCTACCAATTCTAGCTCATTTTAGGACTACTCTATTTGGAACTTTGTCCTGCCGGGTGATATCAAAAATGTATCAGAGGCAATGCATATGGAACATGTTCAGCTTCCTCTCCTGCCATGCACAAAGGGTCCAGGACTCACTGCAGTACAGGAATGTATTCAGGACACAGGCTCTGTAAGCTATACTCTCTTTGTGAGTATAGAGAACACAGTAGCTGCTTTGTCGATGCGTTTATCCAGCTCGACATCTAGGGAGAGATTGTCAGAGATTGTTGAGCCAAGGTACACAAAATCATGAACAACCTCTAATTCTTGTGTGGAGATGATAATAGAGAGAACTGAGTCCATGCCCTGGCCCATGACTTGTGTTTTCTTCAGGCCGATTGTTAATCCAAAGTCTTGGCAGGCCTTGCTAAAATGATTCATGAGTTGTTGGAGGTCTTCAGCAACAATGGCTGCATCATCGGCGAAGAGGAACTTGCGCATGCACTTCAGCTGGACTTTGGTTTTGCTCTCAATCTAGAGAGATTAAACGGCTTTCCCTCTGATCTAGTCCAGAGATAGACACCTTCTGTTCCAGTTCCAAAGGCGTGCTTCAGCTTATAAATGCATCTTTAACAACAAAAGACACTATGATGAGTTGAATGAATTATTGAATGAATAAGTGTATCTTATCTTTATATATATAATTTTTATATATATATATAATTCTTACAAATTGTTTTCCTTTCCTCCTAGCTATGAAAAAACATTATCTGCCAGTCTTGGAAACCCAATGCTTAAAAATCCAATAATAGTTTTTGTAATGGGAAATAGCATTGTTATTGCATATATTATAACTCCAATGGTCTGTAATCTACAATTCAGCACGCTGTCATACTGATCACAATTCTTGTTTTGACTAACAATTTCTGTAGAATTTACATGAATGTAGTTCTGTGGCATCAAAAATTTAAAAAACGAATCGTGGAAAAGCCAAATATTGCAGTACAAAGTGGATGGAATAACAAAGAGTGCAAAGTATCAGACATACATACCTCATTTCGATATCTACAGTCAAAACACCATTTAGCTGCCAGAACTGTTTATAATTCATTGACCTTGCTCTGCTCAGCTGGCTAGTTGTTTTGATACACTTAAAAATTGTTTTGCAATGACTGCAGTAAACAATCCATGCCATTTTTTAAAATGTACTTTTGTTTTCAAGGCAACTTTTTCATCACTCAACCCGCTCATGATGATTTATTTATACTCTTACATACAACATTTCAAACCTTGACATCGGTCCTCTTCTCTCTCTCTTTCAGTTTTCCTTGAAGCCTTCCTTTGCCCTCCACTCACTTTCTCTTTTATTCTCCCACCTGGGCTGGAAGCTCCTTGTGCAGGAGTTTTCCTTCCCTGTTCACCCTTCCGCCCTCCTGTACCAGGAGCTGTAGCAAATGTTACCCTGCCTGGGTGGGTGGCATGGGGAAGAAAGTCACTAATAATGCTGCATAGATTTTTGCCTGGGACCCTGGAATAGCAGGGAAGACACCAAGAGCAACCCCAGCTGCAAGCCAGTGCCTGCTTGCTCACACTATGGCAAGATGTATGAGAAGAAATTGGGTCAGAATCTGGGTAATGCCAACTAATACAATAATGTAGCAACCTAAAACCAGGGGAAGAAAGGAACTGTTTTGGGGGAGGGAGGTACATGAAAACATTTGCTCAGTCATTGCCATTACTGAGAAGGCTTCCATCCTGTTGTTACACTATCTACAGCACACAAACACACTACTACTGGGGACTGTGAAAATCTCACTGCTTGACAACAAGGAATATTTTCCCTAGGCTCTGCACTACTACTGCCAAGAGTTATGCAACAAGAAAGCTCATGAGTTTGGATACTGGTGTTCCCTGCCTACCTTGCTCCAAATAGTATAATGACCCAAGTGCACACATCCACCAATCATCTCCTCAGTCCTCACTCCTGGAGTTTTGGTGTGCCAGTGGGTACAAAAAAACCCAACCTGTTTGAAATATGGTGCTGTAGGAGAGCTTTGAGGATAACTGGGACTGCCAGAAAAATTAAAAAGTGAGGTCTAAATATGTCAGGGTTTTCCTACCTTGCGTATTTTAGAATTAAAACCATTATAGGGAGCAATTTTTGGCAATCTCCTATTCCATTTTGCTTTCCAATCCTTATGTAAGAGATATGAAAATAGTAAAAACTGACAACTAATGGATAACTGGTATAAACACATTTTGTTTTTCTTCTAGGCAGATGTGGTGTCAGATTTTTTTTCTTTCTGCTTGTAAGTGATAACAGAAAAAATAAACAAAAGCTTATTGCTGTTTAACATTAAATATAAACAATTTATTGCTAATCAGCAGAGGATCACCACTGGGTAGCAATTACTGTAAACAAAACCCGCTGCTTCTTCTTAGGAAGAAGTACAAAAAGATTACACTGTTAAAAACAGCCATTATTTCTCACACTGCTATCAGAAGAGAAGCAAGAGACAAAATAACAGGGTGCATATTGTAAACAGACATGAGGCACCAGATGGTTATATATATTTTAACTATTACCTGGTCAAAATTTGGTAAGAGTGTATTGATCTTTTATGTGTCATAATAGATTACAGCTAAACAATGCTTTTGGTTTTATATATATTCTCATTTTAAGAACTTTGATATTTTCCCTGCTTTTACAAGAAGGCTTCTAAAGGCTTTTAAAATTATTTTTAAAATTATTTTTAATAAAGTATTTCTATACCATTATAAGATATACGCTCCAATATTTTTAAGATTGTAACTTAAAACATTCTTTATGCTGTTTGTTTGTATTTTGTACCTATATCAAATACCTATATTTGTACCTACACCTATATTTGTACTATATTGAAGTATCTGCTTTATGTTTTAGTACATATCTTTTTTTACAAGTCATAAGGATGTTTTTCTTATAAGTATAAGACGTTTGGAATCTATAACAACTCTCAAGTATTTTTATTATGAAACATAGAAGCTATGTAGACAAAGGAGCTATATAATACAAGACGTTTGGAGTTGCTGGAATGATTTCAGCAAAGAAGGTACTTAAGATACCCATATGAATTTGGAAACGCTTGTCTTTGATTGCCTGATTTCATTCTGGTATTAACTCTTTACTGGGATGTTGTCAACTATGATGAACCTAGAAACTTTTGTCAGCTATAGTCAAAAAAACCCTTCAAGTCTATCTTTATGTTGGTTTGTAAGGGAAACCATATCAAATCAAGCCTGAATTACCTCTGGAGGCAAAAATGTTGAAA